AAATTTCCAGCCCTTTCTCCCTGCCTTTTTGCAGGGAGCCATTTACGAATGGCTCCGTTCGCAAAAAATGGCATTGACTTGCGAACGGATCCTCAACCTCGTTCATAGGTCGAGCTCCGTTCGCAAGTCGATGCCAATTTATGCCAACAGAACTGTTCTCAAATTGAAAAGTTTGTATCTAGGGATGTTTGTAAGTTGAGGGTTGACTGTAAGCCTTATTTAGGCGTTATTCAACATATTTAAAGGGAATATACCTCACCTCATCCCACCATCATCACATTCTTCATATTCCATATTCTCTCTGAAGAGGAGATGTTTCTTGCTTGCGTGTGGACTCTATATATGAGCAAGAATAACAGAATCAGAACTGGAGCTGGAAAGGACTGCTGGGGTCATCAAATCCAACTTTTTGATGAACTAGGAGGTCCACAGCAAAAGCATTCCTTCCAGGTGGCCTCTAGCTTGGGTTTAAATGAAGGAGAGTCCACCACCTTCCAAGGTAGTCCATTCAAGTGACAAACAGCTCTTACTGTCTCACAAAGATCTTCATGATTTAGATTTCCCCGAATTTTGTGCTCTGGATTTTCTAACCCAGAGTTTTTGCTCGCCTGTACAGCCTGCATGTGAGAGGACTCTCTCCTTTTCAGATCCAGCACAGAAACCATAAAGAAAATGATGATGGAGTGGGTGGGGTTGAGCATTCCCCTCTAAATGTGTTCACAGTGCCAGGTCACATAACATTTGAAGAGGGCTATAGAATCTGTATTGGGGAGTGATTATAGCCCAATCTTCTCCAGGCCCATGCTTTTTACCTTTGTAGATGCAGAGACTATATTACCTTGTGGAGGTTTTTGGACAGTTCACAGGCATCCCACTTAGGCATGAAATAGATAAACATTGGCCATCCTTTCATGAGATCCTGCATCTTTCTCCTCCTCCATGTAATAGTACAGCCCTCTCAAGAATCCCTTGCAAAACTGGAATAGACCAGTCTTATTCTCTGTATATTATACATGTATTCTCTGTATATTATACATGTCATAGCAACATGATGTTTATTCTAATTTTACAGAATGAAGTTGAAAATGTGATATGGAGCCCGATACCTGCTGGTTTGCTAATAATTTGGGTCAAACCGCATGTTAAGGCAGAAGCTTGTTTTCCCCTCTCACAGCGTTATACAGTAGGACCCTCTTACTGGTAGAATCAGTGTCCGCTGAGTCACTTATCCATAGTCTGAAAATATTAAAAATATTAAAAGAAAAATCCCCAGTATATATATTTCTAATGATTAGGTTACCAGAACTAGATACTAGAGGGACCCAGAGACCATAATATGTATAGTGTTCACTAGAGAAATATATTTTGAGAATGCCATTATCAGAACTAGCATTCACTATTATAAAGCATTTGCTATAATAGGCGTTTTTCAGCATCCTTGGGGGGTCATGGAACTGATCCTCCATGGATGCTGTACCTCCAGGCAGCACCAATATTTCAGTGCTTTGTGCCTGAGACAGACATGCAAATGAAGCCATGCTATCTTGACGAATCAAAACAAGAGCAGACTAATTTGCTGAATGGAGAGTGAAGTGAGCTTCTGTTAGAACAAACATACACTCTGTCTCTTAAGGGTGCACTGTTTCTAAATACAGAATTGTGTCTCTTGTTTAGTGGAGCCCTCATTCACTCTACCTGCTTGACATTCTGATCCTGTGTTTGCTTATCTTTCTATTGTTTTTCCACGGATCTTTCTGAACTACTTGGAGTCAGGGCACATATTTTTGGAATAATAATAATCATGTCCTGTCAAGGCAATTCTGACTTAAGGCAACCGTTTTCAGGTTTTCGTAGGTAGGCAGTACTCAGAAGTGGTATGATTCTGACTTAAGGCA